TGTTTATGTCCTACTGGGGACTGAGCTCGGCTATCTGCGCACACTAGGCACACACTTCACCCATGGAGCCATCTCCCCAGCCCCAAATAGGATATTAGAATACATCAACCACAGAAGCACAAATCACACTGTAACTGTTCCAACCATATGATCCATCTCTTTCTCCCTCCTTTGAGTTCTTCACCCTAAGGTTAGGTAGGGGACACAGCTAGGAGAGTACGAGAGAGTGCCATCAGGAAAGGGCAACTCTCCTCTCCCTCCTGTTCCCTAGGGGTGGAGTAGCTGAGGACAGTGGCTGTCCTTTTTGAATGACAGCCACTGTAGTACTTTATGGTAATAGTTACCAGGGTAACCTGACTTATCCAGAAACAGGAGAAATTCTGGGTAAAATTTTCAAAGACAGCACAGACCAAAAACAAAACACTTACATTACAACCCAGGCTTTTTGCCTCATTCAGTGTGTAGGTTTCAAAAGTCAGTGCTGGGGCTCAAACGCAGATATGACACTTGCTAGGCAAACTCTCTGGCAGCAAGCTACTTACAGCTGGAGTGTGGCTACCAAGGAGGAGATTTTATGTGCTAGGTTGTGGCCCTGTGTGAAGTCCACCATGGAGATGCCGGGGTTCCATGGCTGGCACAGGGTAGCCAGAAGCTCCACCTCCCTGCCTGCACCCTTGCTGCATAATTACAAGTTGCCATGCTTGTAACTGGGAGAAGAAAACAATCAATTTCCTACCTCGATCCTTTCTCTTTGGCCGCACCTCTGCTGACGACAGTGTTTCGTCCTGATGCAGGCTCTGACTTTTCTTCTGTGGGAGATCCAAATCCAGGGCTAAAACGAAAACTGTTTTTCTCTTTTGTTATTTGAAAATCACACAGTTCATTCCAGTCAAACTAACATCGGCCATAGGTTACACCTTAAAGAAGATAATCGTTAGAAGGTCCTTTCTCTTCCGTTATGATTGGGTTCAGTCACCACTGCACAGTCAGGGCCTATTCTACCCACAGTTCAGGGGAACAGCCTCAACCTCAGGTCCTCTACCTCCAATTTCCCCCCAGACAGCTTTGTCACATTAGTTTGCAAAACAATTATGCAGCTAAATCCCCATAAAAAGAAAATGAATTTAGTAGCCAAATCTAAAGCTCTAACAACAAAACAGAAACTCTAGGTGGGTTGGTTGAGTTTTGATAAAATGTGTCCTTACTTGGCCTTCTCTTTGCTTCCCCTTCTCAAGGAGGCTGAAGAAGAAATGTTTCGTCCATAGGCAGCATCTGCGGATTTGTCCTCCATAGACGGAGGTGGAGACCTAAAATGTTGAAGTTAAGTACAAACTAAAACTTGTCAATGGTAACTTTGTCCTGTAAAACAGATTTTTTGGGAGAGTCATATTTGCTGAAGACTTTCAATGGTGCCATACTATTTTTAAAAATCATAAGGGAGAAGTTAACACAAAAATAAATTTAAAAACCTTTCCTGAGCCTGAACAGAAAATACTTGTATGAAATACGTAGCATGTTGGTAATATATAGATATACAGGTTCATAGGACTTGGCTATAGCTCGGCTGGCAGGGGATTTGCCTTAGCATGCCCAAAGCTTTGGGTTTGATCCTCGTCATGATGTAAATCATGCCTGGTGGTGCACACCTATAATCCACTCAGGGATGGAGGTGGAAGTTCAAGGTCATCCTCAGCTACAAGCGGGGTTTGAAGCCAGCTTGTGCCACAAGTGATCCAGTTTAAAAAACCAAAAAGTTGGAAGCCCTCGTGGTGATGCATGCCTTTAATCGCAGCACTTTAGAGGCAGAGATCGGTGGATATCTGTGACTTCAGGGCCAACCGGGACTACATAGTGAGTCCCAGGCCAACCAGAACTACACAGTAAGACCCTGTTTATTTGTTTGTTTGTTTGTTTTAATTGATGCGTTAGTTTTTAGTTCTACCATTTATTTATTATAAGAAAATTGATGGTGGTCATTATACGCTACTACACATTTCTGAGAGACTAGGCAATTTTTATACACTTTACATTCTTTGGTTATTTTTCCAGATCCATTGAAAATACAAGTAGTTCCATGTCAGGCTGAGTTTATGGACAGCCCTTACATTCAGTGTTAGATACAGCTGGGAAGAAGCCATACTGGAATTTTTATGTACTTGTATATTAACAAACAAAAACTGCATGCTTCCCTGTCTGCAGCACCCCCCCCCCCCAAAGACTCACGTGTCAGATTTATTGTTGACTAACAGAACAGCGCGTTGATCATTCACCTCCTGTAAGCAGAGTTCCTTCAGCGGCAGAAGTTTGGTGCCAGGGTTTATCTGTGAGATAATGTAAACACAAAAGTTGATCATCTGCAAGTGTTATAGTTAAAACACGAGTGCTGACAGAAGGGGCTAATGACAGTTTGAAGGGTCTAACTCATTCATGTGCACACATCCTGCAGATAGATAATAAAGAAGCAAACCAAATGGTAGGTAAGTAGATGATAGATATATAGATGACAGATGATAGATGATAGATAGATAGATAGATAGATAGATAGATAGATAGATAGATACATAGATACATAGATAGATACATAGATACATAGATGATAGATAGATAATCTCTATACATAATTAGAGCCAGAAGCCTGAAGCTTGCAGACACACTCTCCTTTACACACACATTCTTTGCTGTTTTGCCCTCAGCTATTCCATACCATAACTGTTTCCATGGTCCCTGGAAGTATTTGTCTCCAGAATCTATCTATATACTCCAGGGAAGACTTTCCCTGTGAAAGTACTGTGAGCTGAAACCGATTTCTCCAAATCTCACAGGCCTATCTAAGAGAAGCTGAAGCTGGAAGGATGGCGCAGCAGTTAAGAGCACTTGTTTCTCCTGAAGGGCGCCCAGGTTCTGAGAACCTATGTGGTATTTTACAACTGTCTGTAACTTCGGGCCCAGAAGATCTAATGTTCTCTTCTGACCTACCCAGGTAGCAGGCACACACACATGGTGCCCAGACACACACACAGGCAAACACTTACAGACATCCTAACAGAGAGGGAAGACATTTTCAGAGTCCCACTTCTAGACAAAGAACCACAAGCAGCTAATGACTGCTGGGAGAACGGGATTCACCTCTCTCAGGGGCGAGCTTCCTTATTGGTTTCCAACGAAGAGTAATCAAGCCCTAAAATCATGTACACATAAACAATAAAAATGGACTCAATATGTTCTCTCTCTCTTCCCTTTTGTTCTATCAGTCTGTTAATCTAACAGTCCATCATCCATCCATCAAACCATCAATCCATCGATCCACCTATACACATACATATGTATGTGTGTATGTAACAACAACAAGAACAATAATAATAATAATAATAATAATAATAATAATAATAATAAAAGAGAAGCTGTCAACTTGAGAGTAGAAAGGCACAGAAAGAGTTGGAGGGTAATTTTGCCAGCCTGAAGGAAGAGGGCAGATAGATCAGCCTCTTTGTCTCCTTGTGAACAAGTAGTGGATGTCGTTCCCATCCAAGAGAGTTTCCATGATCTTTTCAAAACAATTGTCTAAAACCAAGACAGATCCTATCATTCATTCTATGAGGGTCCTGTTCCATCTCCCATTTCAGACTGAGGTCTTGCAGCGGTCCTCAAGAACCATATAGTCTGGGCTCCTTTTCTCATCTGATGTACTGGTTAATAATAGCATCTCTAGTCTTCCATTTTATCAGCTCAGCTCCTGTCTGCGGCCCATCGTGATACTCCTTAGACATGCCAAGCACATTTGCCATTATACCTCTGCTCAGAAATTTCTTTCCCAGATAACCCCCAAGCTAGCTTTCCCCACTCTATCCAAGTTTTTATTCATACATCATGCTCAGTAACGGCTGCCTGGCCACCCTTTTAAAAATGGCAGCCCGCAGCTCTGTTGCCTCATAGCTTTGTAGATGCCTTCATGCCCTCTGCTCCATTCCTCTTACACCCCACCCAGCTTTAGCACATTGCTGTTGTGTGCATTCTCCCACTCCTCCCATGGAAAGGAAGCACGGTACTTACAGAGTGAGTGAATCAGAATTCTCCTTTATAGAGATTATTGTCTCATTGTCTCCCCTCTCTCTGCCAGTGTCTCCCTGTGTGTCAGGGTTCTGTGCTTTGAATTCCTGCTCTTGTCCTCAGTTCCCCTGATGCATCTTTATACTGATGTTAAAGTAATTCTTTCAAAATTACTCATCATTGAATAAAATGAGCTTTTTGTGGAGCAATTTCTCAGTGGTTTGAGTGTGTTGTGGAATGTTACTGGGGTTTGAATTAACAAGCTGACTTAAAAGTACAAGTTAAATAGGATCTAGTTAAAACTGTATGAGAACGCAAAATCTTATACCAACAAGAAGTCCAGGCTAAAGTGCTGATCCTCACATTTCTAACTGTAAAAATATAAAGTGTGTTTGGGGCTTATAAAATAGCAATGTAATGGCATCATGATTAAAGAGAAAATCATAGTAAAACACAAATAAGTGCCACCACTTACCCGACCGTAATCATAGAATCCATCACTAATTATGTTGCTTGATGACAAATAGCCAGTCTGGCTGTATTTCAGGGAAAGATTGTTGTTGAGCAATTTGTTATAGGCTGCCTCACTGAACTTATTTTTCCGACTTACTGATAGATTAATTTCTTCAAGGATGTCTAGAGCCCTGTCAATAAAATTAAAAAAAAAAAAAGTTGTTTGTTTTCTCCAATCCAACTGGCAGCGAGTCCCCATTTATATCCTTAAGCTCCTGGGCAAGAACTAAGACGGAAAGCTCAGAGCCTCCCCTGCCTTTTTAAATGAGGCACAACTGACAGAATTATGAAGACAAATCATCACTTTCTGAGAACATAAATGCCATGCAATGACTCATATTCAAACAGTTAGAGGGACATAGCCTGGACAAATGTCTGTGTTAAAAGCTTGGTTGTGAGCTGTGGCTCTGTTGTGAGGTGATGGAATCCCTGAAGTGGGGTCCCGTGGAGGGAGTTAGGTCACTGGTGTTTGTCCTTGAACTGGCTCCTGGGGCCTATCCCTTGCTCTCTTTGCTTTCTAACTGGCATGACGGAGCAACCCTGCCTAGCCCTGCGCTCCTGCTCTGAGGCAACGCCTCACCACAGGTCCAAAGGCAGTAAGACGAAGCAACCATGAGCAAGAACGTCTGCGGCCATGAGCCAGAATAAATCTTCCCTCTTTGCTTCTTTCTCAGGCACTGTTACAGCAATGAAAAACAGATGAATGTGTATTTTAAAGGAGAAATTCCTTGTTCATTTTTTGGCATTTCTTTAAATTTTTAGGTTGGCATACAAAATCATGGGTTCCAGGCAGATATGGTTAACATTTATAATCCCAACATTCAGGAGGCAGAGGCCAGAAGATCTCTGAGTTTGAGGCCAGCCTGGTCTACAGAATGGGTTCCAGAACAGCCAGAGCTACACAGAGAAATCCATGTCTAAAAACAAAAATCACGAAACAAAAGCAAAGTCATGGGTTCTATTCTGACACTTTTATACCTATGTGTTATTGCACTTTATTCTAATTTGTATCCTCACTGGCCTTCCTCATCCTCTCTGCCCCTCTATCCCTTCACCCTCTAACTGATCCCTTCTTTTTGTAACAGAATACATGTCACACATATTCCATTAACTTCTCTTTTCTCCTTTATCACTCCCTTAAGGTTTTCTCTTTCCCTCTCAGGGTCTCCTTTTAAACATGTCGCTATAAGTCTTAGGGTTTTATTGCTGTGAAGAGACACCATGACCAAGGAAAACACTTAATTGGGGCTGGCTTACAGTTTCAGAGATTTTGTCCATTATCTCCCTGCTGAGCAGCATGGTATATACGGCGGGTGCTGGAGTAGCCAAGAGTTCTACATCTTGATTTGCAGGCAGTAGAAAGAAAACTGTGTGGCACACACTGGCAGTAGCTGGAGCACAGGAGACTCCAAGCCCACAGTGACACACTTCTTCCAACAAGGCCACACCTACTCCACACCTCCTAATAGCCACTCCCTGTGGGCCAAGCATTCACAGGGGTGAGTCTATAGAGGCCATTCCTATTTAAATCAGCACAGTATGCCTATACATATAAATTTAATCTAGGTTCCACAGAGGAGAAAAAACATGCATTTTTCTGAGTCTAGATCTGAATTTCATTCAGCGATCTCCAGTTCTGTCCACTTTTCCAGATGCCACAACTGCAGTTTTCTTAATGGTTGGATATTGTGTGTGTTATACTACATTTTTTTTCCTGTTTGTTAATAAATGTCTGGGCTAGGTCTATTTCTCAACCATTTGGGGTGTGCATTTGGATGGTCCCTGTGGTGTGTTTACTTACAGTTCTTTGGATGCAGGTTACCTTCTCTCTGGCTGTGTTTACATCCTCATCAGCGTTCATCATCACTTGTTTTCTTGATGCCAACCATTCTGACTGGGTAAGAAGGAACATCAAAATAATCTGAATTTGAATTTTTCTGACGGCTAAGGATGTTGGACAGCTTTCCAGATATCTGTTAGTCATTTGTATTTCTTCTCTTGAGGAGTATCTATTCAGTTCATTGGCCTATTTATTGGCTGGATGATTCTTCTGATGTCTGATCTTTGCAGGTCTTATGTGTTCTAGTTATCAATCCCTTATAATCTGTTATGCAGTTACTGAAGATATTGTTCTCCTGAGAAGGTTGTCTGCTCATGCTGATGCCCACTTGCTGCTGTCTGCTCATGATGATGACCACTTCCTGTGTGCCTAAATGAGAAATGCTATCTCTCTTGTGAATTCTTGGGATCATTTTCCATGCTTTTGAGTCTCTTTCTCAAAGTTCTCACCTGAGCCAATGTTTAGATGTGTTTTAGTTTTGTCTTCCTCTAGCAGTTTCAGGGTTTCATGCCCTACATTAGGGTCTTCTAACCAAGTCAGGTTGATCTTTCTATAGTATGAGAGGTGACTCTATCCATTCTTCTGTACGTGGACAGCCATTTCCCCTGTATCATTTGTCAACCATACTGTCTCTTCTTTGATGTGTATTTTTCACATCTTTGACAAAAATCATGGGGATGTGATGTTACAGTGGCTTTGTAGTGTAATTTGAGATCGACTATTGGGATACCCCTAGCATTGCTCTTTCTGATGAGGGCTGCTTTGGCTCTTCTGAGTTCCTTATGTTTTCATATGAATTTCAAAATTGATTTTTCTAGTTCTGTGAAGAATGTCATTGGAATTTTGATGGGTATTATACTCAGTATACAGATTGCCTTTGAAGTATGGATGCTTTCACATTATTGATTATGCCAATCCAAGAGCATGGACGTCTTTCCATCTTCTAGTGTGTTCTTCAACTTCATCCCTCAGTGTCTTAAAGTTTTCATCTTTGAGGTCTCTTACTTCTCAGGTTATATTTATTCTAGATTTTAAAAAAAATGATTGTAAATGGGATTCATTTCACTCCCATTTCTTTTGTAACAAGTTTAATATTGGCACACAGAAAAAGCTACCGATTTTTGGATGTTGTTTTTAGATTCTGCTGGTTTCTGAGAGTGCTTGGCAGTTCTGAGAGTTTTTCTGTAATGTGTATAGGCTCTTTTAAATAAAAGATTGAGCTGTCTGCAAACAGAGACAATCTGATTTTTTTTCTATTTGTTCATTTCTTTCTCTTGTTGTTCTAAGACTTTGCACACTGCTGAATCGGAGCAGTCACTGTAGATGCCTCTGTCTTATTCTTGATTTCAGAGAAACTGATTTTAGTTTTTCTCCACTTAGAAGCATTGGCTTATAGGTTTGTTGTGTGTAGCCTTTCCCCCTAATTTCTTTGGGGCTTTTATCTTGAGGGCATGTTGAACCTTGTCAGATGTCTTTTCTCCAGCAAGTAAAAGGTCACGTGACTTCGGTCCACTTTTTCACTCTGTTATGCTACAGCCCAGTAGAGTGTCAAGTCTTCTTTGTGTATTCATGGAATCAGTTAGAAGAATTTTTGTGTCTATGTCATTACGGAGATTGGTCTATTGTTTTCTTTTATGGTTGTATCCTTATCCAATTGTGAGTTAGGGTAATACTGGCTTCACATAGTGGTGTGGTAGTGTTTCCTTCCCTTCTGTTTTACAGAACAGTTTGAGGAGTCTTGGTGTTAGCTGTCCTCTAAAGACTTGGGGGAATTTGGTGGTGAGTTGGTCTGCCCCTGACTTTTTTGTTTGTTTTGGTTTTTCGAGACAGGGTTTCTCTGTGTAACCTTTGCTGTCCTGTACTCACTCTTTGTAGACCAGGCTAGACTGGAACTCACACCAATCTACCTGCCTCTGCCTCCCAGAGTGCTGGGATTACAGGTGAGCACCACCGCACCTGGCTATGGCCTTTTCTATCATTGTTCATTTAATACGAAAAGAATATGAGAACTTAGATTTAGGTAACAAAATTATATAATAAGAACAAATGCTTGGAGATATGTGGGAACCTTCAAACTTCCTCTGCTACTATGCTAAAGAGAACTAAGTTCACCTGCAGCTTGTAGGGAGCATGAATTGCGGGGAGTATGTTAATACAGATACCAGGTGAAGGGTTTGGTGAAGTGATGAATAAAGATGACAGCAGTGACCACCAGCTTATGTTTAGCTGTGAGGCTGGGAGATAAACAGGACTGTGTTTGTGGAAAGTGAAAGAGAACCATTTATCGAGATGAAGTGGAAAAGGAAATGGAGTGTGGAGCTCTGAGGGAAGGGACCCTCAGGTGGGCAGGCAGGGGGAGCTCATCCTGCCCCAGGGGGGCCCTTCCTCAATGCTAAATGACAGTGTGGGCTCTACTTGTGTGGGCTCCCTGGACCTGAGGGGTCTGTTTCTCTCCTTTGTGTTTTCCACCTGAGGTACACACAAGGAATAGCCACTCACCCGAGCCTGCATAACTCAACAGCCATCAGCTCGTCGCTGGCACAGACCATCACGGCCCAGCTCGCATGCTTTCGCACCTCATCATTCTTGGAGTGCAGGAGCTCAACCAGCGGCTCCAGCCCACCACAGTTCTTCAACTACAAGCAGAAATAAAAACTGACATGTTAAGAGCATAGAAACTGGCCTGGCAATAATCTCAGTACTCAGTGGCTGGGGCAAGTGGCTCCCAAGTTCAAGGCCAGCCTCCATTACAGAGCAAGATTGTATTCAAAAATCCCAGGACCGTCCTGTCAATATGGTTCATGGGTTGTTCACGTATGCTGTGTTCAGGTTCCATCCTCAGCAGCGCATGGGGAATAGAAAAATCAACATTCATACATTAGAAAAAAAAATCTCATTGACTATGCAAAGGTTTCAACTGTGCAAAGACAGTTTTAGAATGTGTCAATTTAGAGTTATTAAATTCAGGGGGAAGTCTGCCAGTTTTCCATTCTAAGCATGGAATTTTCTTCTCTAAGCAGAGAAGCCCAAGAAAAGTCATTTTAGAGTTCTTCCAAACTTTCCCTGGGCGAGTGGTGGGAGTCCATCTCCTCCCTGCCATACCCAGTATGAGGGTACTTTGTGCTGAGTCACCCGGCACCTGAGCACTGACAGGTCACGATCCTGACAGACGTCAGAGTGTCCCCTTACCCCTGAAAGTGACTTTGTACAGGTGATAAAATTAAAGATGTTGAGATTGGGAAATGACTGCATCCTCAAGCAGTCCAGTGTCATGGCAAAGCTCCCAACAAAAGAAGACAGGAGTGCCAGAAACAGACAGGGTGTGGAGGCACCAGTGCTGTGGTGAGCATCTCTGAAGGCAGAAGAAGGGACCGTAAGCCAAAGAATGCAGATGTCTCTAGGCTAAAAGCTGGAATGGCCAGTGGCACTGAGCCTCACTCCTCAGTCTCCCCAGCCCCCCCCCAAAGAAAACCCTTCAGAGAAACACAGCACTTCAGACTTTTTAATTTTATCTCCCAAGACCTGTTTGGGGGGATCTGTCCTCAGATTCCCTAAATTAATAGATTTTTCTTGTTTTAAGTTATGAAACACCAGTAGCTTGTTATAGTGGCACTAGTAAACTAACACACACACACACACACACACACACACACACACGTCGCACTCACACACTCATGCACTTGGGCTAGTACTCACAACACACCATGGCCGAGGTTAGCAGCATAGCCAAAGCCATGCTAGAACAGTTCTCTAGAAAAAGGCGCTTTTTTTTTTTTTTTTTTTTTTTTTTTTTTTTTTTTTTTTTTTTTTTTGTTTTTTTTTTTTTTTTTTTTTTTTTTTTTTTTTTTTTTTTTTTTTTTTATGCTGTGAAAGTTGTTTCTTTGGGGAATAGAAAATCAAAAGATAAAAAAGAGGCAGGATGGAGCTATGTTAACTATACCATAAAATACTTTCTAGGGATGAAATTCCAACTAGGAAAAGAAAGGTCTGGAAGTGCTCTGGTCTTGTGTCTGAGATGTAGTACTACATTCTCTGAATCTAGAGAATGAAAAGAACATTCCCGAGAACAGTGTCAAAGGCGGCATTCAAAGTCAAGAGCCCATATGGACAAGGATCCACTTTCAACAATTCTCCCTCTTGATTAGTTTATTTAGGTGTACAGATTTTGGTATGTTTATTCTATAGTATATGTCTAATTTCCACTTAAGAGTGAGTATATACCCTGTGTGTCTTTCTGCTTCTGGGACACCTCACTCAGGATGATCTTTTCCAGTTTCCACCATTTACCTGCCAATTTCATGATTTCCTTGTTTTTTTATTGCTGAGTAATATCCCATTGTGTGGATATTAAACATATAATATAGGATAAACATACTAAAATCTGTACACCTAAAGAAACTAATCAAGAAGGAAGACTCTGGCTAAAATGTTCAATCCCCATTCAGAAAGGCAAAGAGGATGAACATCAGAAGAATGAGAAAACAGGGAACAGGACAGGAGCCTGCCACAGAGGGCCTCTGAAAGGCTCTACCCGTAGGGTATCAATGCAGATGCTGAGACTTTTGGCCAACCTTTGGGCAGAGTGCAGGGAATCTTATGAAAGAAGTGGGAAATAGACCTGGAGAGGACAGGGGCTCCACAAGAAGAACAACAGAACCAAAAAATCTGGACATGGGTCTTTTCTGAGACTGATATTCCAACCAAGGACCATGCATGGAGATAACCTAAGACCCCTGCACAGATGTAGCCCAAGACAGTTCAGTGTCTAAGTGGGTTCCATAGTAATGGGAACAGGGACTGCCTCTGACATGAACTGATTGGCTTGCTCTTTGATGACCTTCCCCTGAGAGGGGAGCAGCCTTACCAGGCCACAGTAGAGGACAATGCAGCCACTCCTGATGAGACTTAATATACTAGGATCAGAAGGAAGAAAAGGAAGACCTCCCCTATCAGTGGACTTGGGGAGATGCATGAGCGGTGAAGGAAGAGGAAGGGAGGGATTGGGAGGGGAGGTGGGAGGGAGCTGCAGGGGGGATACAAAGTGAATAAAGTGTAATTAATAAAAAATTAAAAAAGAAACAAACAGAATTCTCAAGTCAAAACAGGCACTGTGGCACACCCGCGTGTCAGCACACAGAACTCGCTATGTTTGAAGGATGGCACACTTAGGAAGCCCCATTTCTGACCGTATTTTTTTTTTCTGGGTATAAAACAAGATAGAAATCTAATGCCGTGTGTTCCTTTGGCCGAGAGCTGACTTATTAATTCTTCTATCCATTCATTTTTTTTTTCCTCATCCACTTAACAGCTATTCATTAAGTAGGAATTATCAAAGTCAGGTGTGGAGGCACACCCCTGTAACCCCTGCCGAGGGTGGAGGGAGGAGGATCTTGAGCCCCAGGCCCGAAGCCAGCATGGGTTGGGCAGTGAGACCAGCGCTCAGCACAGTGCCTGGCACAGTAACAGGTAGATAGACACCCAGAGGCTAGGGGGTCTCCCCGTGGACGGGTAGAAAGAAGCCGTCCGTGTCAGCGGGAGTGGGGACAGTCAGGGAAGACTGGGGCGTGGTCTGAGCAGAGGCGGGGCTCCGGCCACCGTCAGCCTCACCTGGGTGCGGGCCTCCATGTCGCAGGCGGTGGCGGCCACCGTGAGCGCGGCGGTGCTCTGCACCATGGTGTTGCTGGAGCGCAGCGGGCCCAGCAGCGCGTGCATTATCTCGTGGTTCTGGATGATGGCTCGCAGGGGCTCCTGGATGGCCATGTTGGTCAGCACCGTGGCGGCGTTGGCGATGGCTCCGTCGCGCTTGCTCGACAGGATGTTGATCAGCGGGTTGATGGCGTCTGCTTCTGCGGCGGCGCTGTGCACAACAAGGAGAAAGGAATGCCATTCTCTCAGTTCAAGTAGCAGAAGGGTTTGCAACCGAATTCACTCGAGTGAGCACGGAGACAACGTTTAATGAACCCAGAAAAGGGTGCTAGTGAGCTAAGTGCAGTCTGGAGGAAAATGAATGAAATCAGGTAATCCTTTGGGTTCCAGAAAAACGCATGACCCAAACGTTTCAGGACTCTTCAGTGCCTGGTGTTCAGTTACTTTCCTCAGTGAAGATGAGTTTTAATTGTCAACAAGCTGGGGTCACTTGGGAAGAGCCTTCATGATGGGTCGTCTAGATTTGGTTTCACGTCTTCGGAGGGTGTGTCTGGGGAATTATCTTGATTCTGGTAATTAAGATGGGGAAAACCTGAGCACTGTGGGTGGCGCCCTTCCTGGCTATGGGATTCTGAACTGTGTGAGTGGAGAAAGCTGACTGCCCCACTGTGGGTGTGATGGGGTTCCTGCTGCCTTTGTGCCCCACGGCTGATGACTGCAAGCCCTTAGTACTTGACAAAGGAGTCGTGCATTTTTAGCAAGAGAGGCTTACGGTGGTTAAAGATTTAGAGCATTTGATGTGAGGGCCTGCACGGTGTCAAGTGCTTGAGAAATAACCCTGTGTATAAGACATCGGGAGCACACCTGCTCTGCAGTCTGGGGCCACAGGGGCCTGACCTGCCGGCTCTCGGCTCAGCTCTGGGACAGGAGGAGAGCAAGGCCTGTCTGGACTATGAAGTGAGCTCAAGTTTAGCCTGGCTACTTGGTGAGACAGTCTCTAAAGAAAAAGCATAAACGCAAAAGGGGCCTGGAAATGTGCACGTCAGTAGTAGCACGATTACCTACACGTACCCAGTGCATGGCTCTAGGCTCAATCCCCAGCAACACAAAATCACATTAACAGTAACAACAGCAACCATTTACCTAAATCATCACATCATCAAGACAACAAAGATTACTGACACTTTAATAACACGAACATCTCAAATTCATATTGGACATTCTTTTTCATTTAGGATTGCATCATAAAACCAGAAAAAGGTGTGTGGGGGGGGTAAAGCTGCCTGGTATAGCCATCAATGCCCGAATTCATTTAATTTGGCAGCATCACCTAAATCTGCTTATTGTGAGGGAGGACCAGTGTCCTCAACACAAAAGTCATGACAATTATCCTGTCCGTCAGAACAGATGACAAAATCTGGGTAGGGAGGCCAGTGGTCCTTGGGGAGGGGAGGGCTGTGATGCCCACAGAAACCAGCTCAGAAGGAAAGAGAACGGGCCGGGGGTTGGTGATGGGTTGGCAGGCCCGACCCACAGGCCTGCCTGCACCCTCGGCTCACTAGATCAGGCCTTCCAACATATTTGCTGCCTCAGTAGTGAAGGGGTACCCAGTTTCTTTCCCATGCTTCCTCCCAGGTACAGTTAACCCTTCCTTTAGTAGCTGAGGGTCAATGCTTAATTTCCTTTCCTTGGGGAGAAAATACTCAAGATAATTTCAATTCTAATTCTTTCTTATTATTAACTGACATGGTGCTCATTTGGTTTTATGAATAGGAAAAATTGTGCATTTAATCTACATCAAACAGCTGAAAAACAATGAATAAAAAAGATTTAGTGTCAACTCTTATCAGGAACTTCTCATATTTTTGTTTATGTGATTTTATAGTTCAAATACTGAATTTTAAACTCTCTGTGCAACACACACACACACACACACACACATGCACACACACACACACACACACACACACAGGCGCCAGGCTGGAGCCCAGGGCTTACACATGGTTTACACAGAGCTCCTTGCCGATCTCTGGAAGTTCAGCTCATCGCACTGACACCCTTCAAACCCCTCTCCTTTTGAGTTATTTGTTCAGGCACTCGGTGCAGCCATCCTCTCATGCCAAATGCTTCAGGCCTTCAACAACTGCACGCATACCTCGCCCAAGACGCATGCCCCTCGTTCAAGCGTGGATAAGTTCTCTTCTCTTCTCTTTTGGAAAATTAAAAAAGCATGGTGGTTTGGTTTTTTTTTTTTTTGTTTGTTTGTTTGTTTTCAGTTTCTCACAAAAAGAAGAAACTAAGGAATAAGGGGCTGGAGAGAAGGTTTACTACTTAGAATGACTTCTTACTCTTCTAAGGACCTGGGTTCAATGATTTAAAACCACCTATAACTTCAGCTCCAGGAGATCAAATGCCCTCTCTTAGTCTTCCTGGGAACCAGGCATTCAAATGGTGTACAGACATACAGACAGGCAAAATACACACAAAAGAAGATTTTAAAAAAAAGCCTTTCTGTATTGAAGAAGAAGAAGCAGCAGCATCAGAGGAGGAGGAGGAGGAGAAGGAACAATGACAACGGACCTAAGAAACAGCAGGTCAAGACTAGGGATTTCCATTCATGGTCCTTGGTGGAGTGTCAGTCTCAGAGAAGACCCTGTGCCCAGATATCTTCAGTCCTTGTGGAGCTCCTATCCTTTCCACATCATTCTAACTCCTCTTCTTTCATATGATTCCCTGCACTCTGCCGAAGGTTTGGTTATGAGTCTTAGTATCTGCTTTGAAACGCTGCTAGGTAGAGTCTTTCAGATGCCTTCTGTGGTAGGCTGCTGTCATACGTTCAATGCACATCCCATTTGTCTTTCTAAATGAGGATTGATCATCTTAACCCGTGTCTGCTTTCTTGATTATCTTCTTTAGGTGTATAGATTTCATTATGTTTATCATATCTTATAGGTCTATATAAGCGAGTATATAGCGTGTTTGTCTTTCTCCTGGGATACTTCACTTAGAATGATCTTTTCTAGATCCCACCATTTGCCTGCAAATTTCATGATTTCCTCTTTTTTTGATTGCTGAGTAGTATTCCATTGTGTAAAAATACCACAATTTCTGTATCCATTCATCCATGAATGGATATAACCTAGAACCTCTGCTCGGATGTGGCCCGTGGTAGCTCAGTAACCAACTGGTTTCCCATAGTAAGGGGAACAAGGATTATTTCTAACAGGAACTCAATGGCAGGCTCTTTGACCTCCCCACCCCCCAAAGGAGGAGCAGTACTGTTAGGCCACAGAGGAGGACTTTGCAGCCAGTCCTGAAGCTACCTGATAAAACAGGGTCAGATGAAAGGGGAGGAGGTCCTCCCCTATCAGTGGACTTGGAAAGGGGCAGGGAGGAGATGAGGGAGGGAGGGAGGGTAGGTTTGGGGAGGGAAAGAGGGAGTGGGATACAGCTGGGATACAGAGTTAATAAAATGTAACTAATAAGAAAAATATAATTAAAAAAAAAAAGACTAGGGATTTCTCTAAGGATCACCTGAGCTCTGGGCCCTTCTGCTCAGTGTTGGCATTGTCTGGTAAAGACATGCCTTGCCTTGGTCTGTGAATCACTTCCTTCTGCTCTTTTCTTTGCTCTTTATGAAGACAATAAAAGAATTCCAAAAAACCTAGCTGTTTAAAAAGCCCAAGTTTAAAGCCAGGCACAGTGGTGCACGCCTGTAATCCCAGCACTCAGGATGCAGAGGCAGGAGGGTCTCTGTGAGGTTGAGGCTAGCCTGGTCTACAAAGTGAATCTAGGATGGCCAGAGCTACCAGAGAAACCCTGTCTCAAAAACCAAAATAATAATATAATAGTAATGAATAAAAAAGTGTCTGGTGCATAGTAGAAGACAGCTCTGACTGCACTGAGCAGAACAGCCTCCCAGAGATGAAGCGAGCTCTTAGCCCTGGAAAGAAAGGCATGCACCGGCCCTCCGCCCTTTACCTCTAGCTTGCGCTCTACGCCATTCTAAAAACATTACTAAATGAACTTGTGGCAGAAAACCAAACCCCTTTTGCTTAAACACAAAGTAATAACAGTGATAGAAATATAATACAAAATTTACATGTTAAAATAATTATTGCATTGACCATGTTTCTTTCAAACCCATGATATTCTGTTTTGTTTTGTTTTTCTTTTGACGTCTCTAATGGGGAAATCCAGAAACTGACGGGTGGCATATTTTAAAAACATGTTTCAGTTTTCTTAACAGTACAGCATTATCCAAGCAAATGAGACAGAAGTCAAACTGCTGTATTATAAAATCCAGAATTATAAGGCCATATGTCACCACAATAGTTAGAAAATATTTTCTGATATTTACTATCATTCATCACCATCCAGTTGGAGTTTACTCAAATGAATTTAAACTGTAAAATTTTAAAACAAGCTAAACAGCAAATATGGAGATGTATAAAAACATCTGTGTGTAAGCATGAAGAACAGAGGTGAAGTCTAGCAGTTGGGTAGATCCAAGCTAAACAGGTCCTGGCTATACTTCCCAAACCCCGTGCGTGCTATTGCTCATCTCTCTCCCTTCTCTCCATACTCCAATGCAACCTGACCTCCTGTGGATTAACACCAATACAGAGGTCTTTCACACATACACGGTTCTTGACTTCCAGTTTGGGTTAGGATTTTTCAGAATTGACAGACATTCAACAGAAACCACACTACAGGTTTTCAATTCAGACATTTGCCAGGTTGGCATGTGTTGCTATTTGCCACACTCCATTCCTATTGCCTGCACTAGTCCCTCCCCGCTCCCACGTCCTGAGGCTAAGATGTCAGGTCTACCAAGTAGCATTTGGACTTCAGTTTTCAATGGATTTGTGGGAATAGAAGCTCATCATGAAGGGAGGAACCAGTAAGTCCTAACATGTCTCGTGCTACAGCTAATGCAATATTTAAAAATTATAATCACTGCTTACTCCAAACTTGCACAGTTTCCACTGTCAGGATAAAGCCCAGATGACTCCCCACAGCTCGCAGACTCCTGCATGCATGGCCCTGCCTCCCTCTTTACCTCACACCTCCCCCCCCCCCATCCCTGTTGCTGTCTCTCACCTCAGGACAAGCTCTCCCTGCTTCCCAGAACTCTCCTCTTCTGCATAATCCCCTTTCACGGTTTGGCACAAGTGGCTTTTCCTCAAGAAAGGGGCTCTACACCCCCAA